AAAGGCAGCCCACAGAAAGGGAAAAAATATTCACTAATCCCACATCTGACAGAGGGTTGATCTCCAAAATTTACAAAGAACTCAAGAAGCAAGTCTCCAAAACACCAAAGGACCCTATTAAAAAGTGGGCTGCAGAACTAAATAGAGAGTTTTCAATAGAGGAGTCTAAAATGGCTGAGAGGCACTTGAGAAAGTGCTCAACATCCTTAGCCATCCGGGAAATGCAAATCAAAACAACTCTCAGATACCATCTCATCCCTGTCAGAATGGCTAAAATCAAAAACACCAATGACAATTTATGCTGGAGAGGATGTAGTGAAAGGGGGACACTCCTCCATTGCTGGTGGGAGTGCCAACTGGTTCAGCCACTTTGGAAATCAGTGTGGAGATTCCTCAGAAAAATGGGAATAAACCTACCACAAGACCCAGCAACTCCACTCTTAGGCATATATCCAAAAGATGCCCATTCATACAACAAAGATGTCTGTTCCACTATGTTCATAGCAGCTTTATTTGTAATTGCCAGAACGTGGAAGCAACCTAGATGTCCCTCACCTGAAGAGTGGATAGAGAAAATGTGGTACATCTACACAATGGAGTACTATTCAGCAGAAAAAAATAATGGAATCATGAGATTCGCAGGCAAATGGATGACACTAGAAGAAACCATCCTGAGTGAGGTAACCCAGTCACAAAAAGAGAAACATGGCATGTACTCTCTCATATATGGATTTTAGACATAGATCTGAGGAGTGACAGCCTACAATCCTATGGCCAGAGAGTCTGGGAAACAGAAACTTTATTTAGTGGCTGATCGAAGAAGAGGCAGACTCCCTTGGTTAAGTACTGAGCTGAGCTCAAGGAATCCAGAGACAGAGAGGGAGGACTGATGATCAAAGGGATTAAGACTGGGCTGGTTTAACCCCCAGAAACAGCTGACCAGACAAAGGTTAACTCTTGAATCCCAGGCATTAGCCTGGGAAGCCAGCATGGGACTGATCAAGCCCCCTGAATCTGGGTGTCAGTGAAGAGGCCTAGGGAATCTACTGAGCCTTGGGCAGCAGATCAGTACCCATCCCAAGTATACACACGGACTTTGGACTCCCATAGAACAATGTGAGGTGCACTCTCACCCTGAACTCTTGGGGAAGGGTCTAGGCCCTGCCCTATATGAAATGACACACTATGCACACCCCCATGGAGGGCCTCACCCTCCCTGGAGAAATGAGGGGATAACGGGGGGGGAGGGCACGGGAGGAAGGGAGGGAATGGGAGAGGGACCTGGAACTGACTTGTGAAGCAACCTTGTTTCTTATCTAAATTTAAACTGGAAAATAAAATTTAAAAAAAAAGGAAAGGATTTTCAGAAAAGGACTCCATTTGCACCGGAATTAAGACCAACAACAAGCTTCTGCACACATAACTAAACAATCAAGCGAAGAGGAAGGTCATAGAACATTAGAGAACTTGGAGGAGAACCTACAACCCCAACTTTCCTAAAACATCCCTAGGTACACTATATTTTTCCTTATACACACATGTAAGTATAGTCTTTACCTTTCAGCTTTTTTTGTGCCATAGATGAGGCCATCATGGAAACCATAACCAATCAAGTCCCAATTGATTCATCTACAAAACCACTCCTGTATACAAGGCTTAGGGGACATCGTGGAAGAAGGGACAGAAAGAGTGGATCAGGGAGCTTGATGTGAGATTTTGTCTCCCAGGAATGTCAGAAGTTACACTCAGAAAGTTTCACCAGCAGTACTGCCTAAACCTGAGCTGAAAGGAGCAATGATAGATGTGCAAAGGGTGGACATGGGAAAGACCACAAGGCCTCAACCCTATACAAAGAGTTACAAGAAATTAAGAAATGCTGAGAGCAGGAGAGCTAGTGTTCCCCAAGGAAAATCATACCAATTGGTTATGGAATACCAAATAGCCCTGAAAACATATATGTGAGTACCATTGTACAGACTGAATAAGTTTTACTTATGCACTTAGGAATGTTTGTGTGTGTGTGTGTGTGTGTGTGTGTGTGTGTGTGTGTGTGTAAAACAACAATTAATGGGGAAAAAGGCTATGAATTTGAAAGAGAGCAAGGAGGGGTATATGGGAGGGTTGGAGGGGGTAGGAAAAGGAAGGGGGAAATGATATAATTATATTATAATCTTATTAAAAATAAGAGATAATTTAAAAAAGTATTTTCCTTTATAATGTTTTGAACTTAGTTGGTATCACTTGTAATGTTTTTCTCATCATTGCTGATTCTCTTCACTTGGGTTCTTTCTTTTGGTTTATCTTCTCAAGGAAGCAGCTCTTCGATTTTTTGTCAGACTGACTTAGCCTTTCATATTTGTGCTTTTGTGATGAGACTTGGCTTGTTGTTGGTTATATGTCTGATGTGAGATTAGTTTTATTTTGTTTTTGCGCGAGCTTGGTCGACTTCAGATCAGGTATGAATAACTGGTAAGCTGACCCTTCAGATACTCATTGTTGATTTTTTTTTATACTGAGTACAATTCTGTGTTAAACAAGTAAATGGGACAAATGTCTGGATCTTGTTTGGTTGATGAGTAGTTCATACTACTCAAGATCTTGGAATATGAGGATTCCATGGGTGCGTTGGGGAATTGGCACTCACCATCTTATGCTGGCATATAGGCTGTGGAACAAAGATGAAGGTTTGGGATGGCAGGGACATGTTATTTTCCACAGACTTAGTTGTGTGACTGAGGCTTGACATGAGGATTGGGGATAGGGTGAGCAGCTGAGGTTCTAGGGACTCATCAGGCCATGCCAGCACACAAATATATATTTCAGCATAGGCTAAAGGTTGGGTGTGGTACCGTCTGGGTAGAGTCCAGGAGACTGACTAGACTAGACTAGCATACAGGATGTGTGACCTAGACTAAGTCTGGAGGTTCGACATATCATGAGTAGGATAAAATTTGGTGAACTCAACACTGACCTGGCACAGAATGTTGGCCACTGGGGCCATGCCTGCAGATTAAGAGCAGAATAAGGGTCTTCAGACTAGGCTGGGACACTCAACATGAAACCTGGGCTGGGTGTGGGAACTAGGGAGGGTGTAGGCAGACTAGGGTCAGTTGGACTCATTATTGATAGGCCAGGGCATAGGATGTGGAACATGAGCTGGTCCTGGAGGGCTCCATTATCATTTCTTTTGTATTTCTCCTCTCCTCTCCTCTCTCCTCCCCTCCCCTCTCCTCTCCCCTCCCCTTCCCTCCCCTCTCCTCTCCTCTCCTCCCCTCCCCTCTCCTCTCCTCTCCTTCCCTCTCCTCCCCTCTCCTCTCCTCTCCTTCCCTCCCTTCTCCTCTCCTCTCCTCTCCTCTCCTCCATTCCCCTCCTCTCTCCTCCTGCTACCTTCTTCTCGCCTTTCCTTTCCTTTCCTCTCCTCTCCTCTCCTCTCCTTTCCTTTCCATTTCTCACTAATATGAATAAGGAAACACAGTAGGAGGGAAGGGTCCCAAAACCAGTTAACAGAGTCTAAGACAGTCCCTGCTCCCACTATTTGGAGTCCCACAAGAAGATCAAAATATACAACTATACAATATGAGCAGATGGCCTAGGTCAGTCCCATGCAAGCTCTCTGGTTAGGGGTTCAGGCTTTATAAGCCCGAGTGTACCCAGGTTAATTGATTCTTTCAGTTTTCTTGTGATCACCTTGACACTTCTGGCTCCCCCAATCCTTCCTCCCCATCTTCCACAGGATTCCCTGAGCTCTGCCTAATATTTGGCTGTGGATTTCTGTATCTGTTTCCTTTTTTTTTTTTTTTTTTTGGTTTTTACGAGACAGGGTTTCTCTGTATTGTTTCGGAGGCTATCGGTCCAGCCTGGCCCCGAACGCACAAAGATCCGCCTGCCTCTGCCTCCCAAGTGCTGGGATTAAAGGCGTGCGCCACCACCGCCCGGCTTGTATCTGTTTCCTTTAGAAGCTAGGTGAAGCCTCTTTGATGGCAACTGGGCTAGGCAACAATCTATGAGTATAGTGTATAGAAGACTATCATTAGGAATCATTTAATTAACTTTTATTTTGTTTTTTATTGCCAGTCATGTTTGGTTCTGTCCTGGGTCCCTAGACTGTCCAGCTTCTGGGTCCAGGCCCTCTAGGCAGTGTCAGGGATGGGCTCCCTCTCATGGTACGGGTCGCTAGCTGGACCAGTCATTGGTTGGCTACTCCCATCATTTCTCCATTATTTTTACCCCAGCACATTTTGTTGGGAGGTGAAATTTTATGCCAAAGGTTATGTGGCTGGATTTGGGTCCCAGTCCCTCCAGTGGAAGTCTTGCCTGGTTATAGGAGATGGCCAGACAGGGTCCATTAATAAAAACCTTAGCTAGGGTCACCCTCATAGATTCCTGTGGGTTCCCATTGTACTAGGTTTCCAGATCATCCCAGAGATGCCTCCTGACCATGTTTGTAATAGCCAGAGACTGGAAACAATCTACATATTCATCAGACAAAGAATGGGTAAAGGAAATGTGGTACATTTGTACAATGGAGTATTATTACTCAGTTGTTAAAAACAATGACATCATGATATCTTCAGGCAAATTGATGGATCTAGAAAAGATCATCCTGTGTGAGGTAACCCAGACCCAAAAAGACAAGCATGATATGTACACACTCATAAGTGGATATTAGCCATAAAGTAAAGGCTAGCCATGCTACAGTCCACAGCCCCAGAAAAGCCAAGTAACAAAGAGGACTCAAGGCAGGAGGGGGCACATGTATCTCACTGTGAAGGGGAAATAGAATAAATATGATGGGTGAGGGGAGGGGTCTGGATGAGGGTGAGCAACAGGAGGAATTAGGTCAAGAGAGGATAGAAGGAGAGAGTACTGGGAGACTTTAATTTTTATCTGGATAGTCTGTGGATTATGGAACTTTGGGACACAGATACTTGTGTTGGTTTCTAGTTTGACCACTTGTATGAAAGATGTGAACTGAAGCAGAGGAACGACAAATCTCAATATTTAGTCACCACTAATTTATTGTCAGTATAATGCAATCAAGTTAATCAAATCCAAAGACTTAAAACAGATATGTTACAGTGAAACAAAGAACTATGTAACAATGGCAAGCTTCCTTTCCATCTGGTTATGATATCTCTACATAGGAGGACCAGTATTTCCATGCTGTGATATATCTAAAGTTTTCTTATCTGAAATTTCATACAAATGGAAGCAATGATCTTTGTTGATGAAATAAAGTTAAGGCCCACATTTGGATTCTTCGGTCGTGCACCTCTTTTCCAGTGGCTAGAGAGAAGCATCTGAAGCAAAAATTTAATTACACTTGTTCACTTACTGATTTAAAATGTACCAAAGAAGTTTCTTGTTGATTTGGGTAAATAGAAATCAATACCCTATCCTTTTTCCTCCTCTTTCTCTTGCCATCTAATGTAATGTACATTAAGAATTAGATTGTGTGTTGATGTAAGATAAAGCCTTGGCAGCTGGAATGAGAGCATATTTATACTATATTACCCTTTAACACTACAAGCTTAGCTTTAGCATCATTCCTCATTAAATAATAATCTTTTAGATAGAGTCCTTAACCAAACACCATACTCTTTAAACTATTCTTCCAAACTTAATCCCACTAAACACCCAATTCTTCAAAACTTAATTTCCCTAAATTAGGCATTCAGCAACTGAAATAGATCCTAATTAGGTATTTCAAATATCATGCATTATTTGGGAAGAACTCAGTAACAAGGAATATAGGCTAATTTTCATTTTAAAAGAATGAGAGCATGTGTGTCCAGATTGAGAAAAAGTTCTACAACAACTTATTTCTTAAATTAACTTTTAAGTTACTTTTACCTCAGTCCCTTACTTACTCTGAGAATTAGCGTCTCTGCTCCTGGACATACTCATAGAGTGGAGTGCTACTACTGACAGAATCTAAGCCTATATTTCTCATTCCAGAGTTACCGTCCCTGACTCTCTTATAGTCAGAGTCAACTTCTCTATTGTCCACATTGTACCGTGACAGTTGACCAGTAGTATTGAATCTACTGTGTCCATGTGAAGGTGTAAATTGTCCAAAATTAAAACCTGAGGAGGTTTCTACTTGCCTATGCACACTTACTGATTGATTTTTATTACAAGTTGAGGGGCTACAGCTAGATTCCCATTGGTTTCCACATCTCTGATTTGATTGACTTTGCTTATAACTAGAATATTGGTCATATCCAGAACCACATGATCCAGAGCTAAATGTGTGACATGAATCAGAACCATATTGTTGTAAACTAGGACATGGACCAGACCTGGGACAAGTTTGTCTACACATAGAAGAGGGATAGGAACCAGACCCATATTGTTCAGAGCTAAAACCCTGACTACACCCAGCACCATATTGGCTCTGGCTAGTATAATGACTCAAGGGGCATTCATATTGGCCATAGTTAGAAGACTGACTTGAACCAGACACTTGTTGACCACTGCAGAAAGACTGGTTTGAATTAGATCCACACTGACCATGATGGTATGACTGATCTGCTAGTGGACTATACTGTCCATAGTCAGGAGACTGATTTATGTGGGAATGATGTTGGCTGTAAGTAGACTGACCTGAACTAGACACTTGGTTATCACAGCTAGAATACTCTCCTGAGCCAGACACACTCTGACCAAACTGGGAAGACTCACCATAGGTAGACTGATGATTACTACTGTAAGATGGCTGATATAATCCAGACCTTTGATGGTCACAGCTAGAAGACTGCCAGGAATTAGATTCATGCTGATTACAGTTAGGTGACTGACCTGAGTTGTATTGAAAAGGCCTAGAATTTGGTGGTTGTCTGGATGACGAATAAGGTTGTCCTATACAAGATGATTGACTACTGCCAGATGCATACTGATTATAGGAAGATGATTGGTGGGGAAAGGAACCCAGTTGTTCACTACCAGAAGACTGGCATTGACCAAATCCCTGTTGACTACACCCAGATACCCCTCCTGATACAGACCCATAATGTTCTGAGCCAGAAGATTCCCTTGAGCTAGACCTAGCCCTACCCTGGCTTGAAGACTCTCTTGATTCTGATCCATTATGGCCATAGGGAGTGGCATGACCTGAGTGCCACCCTGATGACATTCCAGAGTAGGAACCCTGCTGCCCTGTTCCAGAACAATGGCTGTGTCCAGCTCCCTGTTGACTACAGCGAGAAGCTTCTTCTGATCCAGACCCATATTGTAGGGATCCAGAAGACTCCCTTGAGCTGGACCTTGTCCTTCTCTGGCTTGACGACTCTCTGGATCCTGAACTATGCTGGCCATAAGTAGTAGACTGACCTGAGCTCCATCCTGAAGGCTGTCCTAATGAAGTGCCATGGTGTACACTACCAGATGACTGACCTTGCTGTGTGGAGCTAGAAGCATGGCCCGATGAAGAACCATATTCTCCTAGGGTGGAAGATTTCCCTGATCCAGAACCACTTCTCCTCTGGCTAGAAGAATGTCCTGACCCTGAGTTTTGTGTTCCATATCTGGCAGACTGCCCAGAGCAAGAGCCAGAGCCATGCTCCCCATAGCTGGTGGAGGGACTACAGGAAGATCCATGCTTATGCCTCCCAGCTGACTGTCCAGAGATGGAACCCTGTTGCCCTCTCCCAGAAGCCTGGCCTCGCCCAGATGCCCCTCCTGATTCTGACCCATATTGTTGGGAGCCAGAAGACTCCCTTGAGCTAGACCTTGTCCTTCTCTGGCTTGAAGACTCTCTGGATCCTGATCCATGCTGGCCATAAGTAGTGGACTGACCTGAGCTGCTTCCTGATGACTGTCCTGATGAAGTACCATGTTGTACACTACCAGATGACTGCCCTTGCCATGTGGAGCTAGAAGCATGGCCCGATGAAGAACCATATTCTCCTAGAGTGGAAGATTTCCCTGATCCAGAACCACTTCTCCTCTGGCTAGAAGACTGTCGTGACCCTGAGTTTTGTGTTCCATAACTGGCAGACTGCCCAGAGCCAGAGCCAGAGCCATGCTCCCCATAGCTAGTGGAGTGACCACAGGAAGATCCATGCTGATGCCTCCCAGCTGACTGTCCAGAGATGGAACCCTGTTGCCCTCTCCCAGAAGCCTGGCCTCGCCCAGATGCCCCTCCTGATTCGGACCCGTATTGTTGGGAGCCAGAAGACTCCCTTGAGCTAGACCTTGTCCTTCTCTGGCTTGAAGACTCTCTGGATCCTGATCTATGCTGGCCATAAGTAGTGGACTGACCTAAGCTGCTTCCTGATGACTGTCCTGATGAAGTACCATGTTGTACACTACCAGATGACTGACCTTGCCGTGTGGAGCCAGAAGCGTGGCCCGATGAAGAACCATATTCTCCTCTACCAGAAGACTGTCTGGATCTAGTGCCACTACTCCTCTGGCTAGAAGACAGTCCTGACCCTGAGTTGTGTGTTCCATAGCTGGGAGATTGCCCAGAGCCAGAGCCATGCTCCCCATAGCTAGAGGACTGACCACAGCAAGATCCACTCTGATGCCTCCCCTCTGACTGTCCAGAGATCGAACCCTGTTGCCCTCTTCCAGACGACTGGCTGTGTCCAAATCCGTGTTGACTAAAGCCAGAAGCCTCTCCTGATCCAGACCCATATTGCAGGGATCCAGAAGACTCCCTTGAGCTAGACCTTGTCCTTCTCTGGCTTGAAGACTCTCTGGATCCTGATCTATGCTGGCCATAAGTAGTGGACTGACCTGAGCTGCTTCCTGATGACTGTCCTGATGAAGTACCATGTTGTACACTACCAGATGACTGCCCTTGCCGTGTGGAGCTAGAAGCATGGCCCGATGAAGAACCATATTCTCCTAGAGTGGAAGATTTCCCTGATCCAGAACCACTTCTCCTCTGGCTAGAAGACTGTCGTGACCCTGAGTTTTGTGTTCCATAACTGGCAGACTGTCCAGAGCCAGAGCCAGAGCCATGCTCCCCATAGCTAGTGGAGTGACCACAGGAAGATCCATGCTGATGCCTCCCAGCTGACTGTCCAGAGATGGAACCCTGTTGCCCTCTCCCAGAAGCCTGGCCTCGCCCAGATGCCCCTCCAGATTCGGACCCGTATTGTTGGGAGCCAGAAGACTCCCTTGAGCTAGACCTTGTCCTTCTCTGGCTTGAAGACTCTCTGGATCCTGATCTATGCTGGCCATAAGTAGTGGACTGACCTGAGCTGCTTCCTGATGACTGTCCTGATGAAGTACCATGTTGTACACTACCAGATGACTGACCTTGCCGTGTGGAGCCAGAAGCGTGGCCCGATGAAGAACCATATTCTCCTCTACCAGAAGACTGTCTGGATCTAGTGCCACTACTCCTCTGGCTAGAAGACAGTCCTGACCCTGAGTTGTGTGTTCCATAGCTGGGAGATTGCCCAGAGCCAGAGCCATGCTCCCCATAGCTAGAGGACTGACCACAGCAAGATCCACTCTGATGCCTCCCCTCTGACTGTCCAGAGATTGAACCCTGTTGCCCTCTTCCAGACGACTGGCTGTGTCCAAATCCGTGTTGACTAAAGCCAGAAGCCTCTCCTGATCCAGACCCATATTGCAGGGATCCAGAAGACTCCCTTGAGCTAGACCTTGTCCTTCTCTGGCTTGAAGACTCTCTGGATCCTGATCCATGCTGGCCATAAGTAGTGGACTGACCTGAGCTGCTTCCTGATGACTGTCCTGATGAAGTACCATGTTGTACACTACCAGATGACTGCCCTTGCTGGGTGGAGCTAGAAGCATGGCCCGATGAAGAACCATATTCTCCTAGAGTGGAAGATTTCCCTGATCCAGAACCACTTCTCCTCTGGCTAGAAGACTGTCGTGACCCTGAGTTTTGTGTTCCATAACTGGCAGACTGCCCAGAGCCAGAGCCAGAGCCATGCTCCCCATAGCTAGTGGAGTGACCACAGGAAGATCCATGCTGATGCCTCCCAGCTGACTGTCCAGAGATGGAACCCTGTTGCCCTCTCCCAGAAGCCTGGCCTCGCCCAGATGCCCCTCCAGATTCGGACCCGTATTGTTGGGAGCCAGAAGACTCCCTTGAGCTAGACCTTGTCCTTCTCTGGCTTGAAGACTCTCTGGATCCTGATCTATGCTGGCCATAAGTAGTGGACTGACCTGAGCTGCTTCCTGATGACTGTCCTGATGAAGTACCATGTTGTACACTACCAGATGACTGACCTTGCCGTGTGGAGCCAGAAGCGTGGCCCGATGAAGAACCATATTCTCCTCTACCAGAAGACTGTCTGGATCTAGTGCCACTACTCCTCTGGCTAGAAGACAGTCCTGACCCTGAGTTGTGTGCTCCATAGCTGGGAGATTCCCCAGAGCTAGAGCCATGCTCCCCATAGCTAGAGGACTGACCACAGCAAGATCCACTCTGATGCCTCCCCTCTGACTGTCCAGAGATCGAACCCTGTTGCCCTCTTCCAGAATACTGGCTGTGTCCAGATCCCTGTTGACTAAAGCCAGAAGCCTCTCCTGATCCAGACCCATATTGCAGGGATCCAGAAGACTCCCTTGAGCTAGACCTTGTCCTTCTCTGGCTTGAAGACTCTCTGGATCCTGATCTATGCTGGCCATAAGTAGTGGACTGACCTGAGCTGCTTCCTGATGACTGTCCTGATGAAGTACCATGTTGTACACTACCAGATGACTGCCCTTGCCGTGTGGAGCTAGAAGCATGGCCCGATGAAGAACCATATTCTCCTAGAGTGGAAGATTTCCCTGATCCAGAACCACTTCTCCTCTGGCTAGAAGACAGTCCTGACCCTGAGTTTTGTGTTCCATAACTGGCAGACTGCCCAGAGCCAGAGCCAGAGCCATGCTCCCCATAGCTAGTGGAGTGACCACAGGAAGATCCATGCTGATGCCTCCCAGCTGACTGTCCAGAGATGGAACCCTGTTGCCCTCTCCCAGAAGCCTGGCCTCGCCCAGATGCCCCTCCTGATTCTGACCCATATTGTTGGGAGCCAGAAGACTCCCTTGAGCTAGACCTTGTCCTTCTCTGGCTTGAAGACTCTCTGGATCCTGATCTATGCTGGCCATAAGTAGTGGACTGACCTGAGCTGCTTCCTGATGACTGTCCTGATGAAGTACCATGTTGTACACTACCAGATGACTGCCCTTGCCGGGTGGAGCTAGAAGCATGGCCCGATGAAGAACCATATTCTCCTAGAGTGGAAGATTTCCCTGATCCAGAACCACTTCTCCTCTGGCTAGAAGACTGTCGTGACCCTGAGTTTTGTGTTCCATAACTGGCAGACTGCCCAGAGCCAGAGCCAGAGCCATGCTCCCCATAGCTAGTGGAGTGACCACAGGAAGATCCATGCTGATGCCTCCCAGCTGACTGTCCAGAGATGGAACCCTGTTGCCCTCTCCCAGAAGCCTGGCCTCGCCCAGATGCCCCTCCAGATTCGGACCCGTATTGTTGGGAGCCAGAAGACTCCCTTGAGCTAGACCTTGTCCTTCTCTGGCTTGAAGACTCTCTGGATCCTGATCTATGCTGGCCATAAGTAGTGGACTGACCTGAGCTGCTTCCTGATGACTGTCCTGATGAAGTACCATGTTGTACACTACCAGATGACTGACCTTGCCGTGTGGAGCCAGAAGCGTGGCCCGATGAAGAACCATATTCTCCTCTACCAGAAGACTGTCTGGATCTAGTGCCACTACTCCTCTGGCTAGAAGACAGTCCTGACCCTGAGTTGTGTGCTCCATAGCTGGGAGATTCCCCAGAGCTAGAGCCATGCTCCCCATAGCTAGAGGACTGACCACAGCAAGATCCACTCTGATGCCTCCCCTCTGACTGTCCAGAGATCGAACCCTGTTGCCCTCTTCCAGAATACTGGCTGTGTCCAGATCCCTGTTGACTAAAGCCAGAAGCCTCTCCTGATCCAGACCCATATTGCAGGGATCCAGAAGACTCCCTTGAGCTAGACCTTGTCCTTCTCTGGCTTGAAGACTCTCTGGATCCTGATCTATGCTGGCCATAAGTAGTGGACTGACCTGAGCTGCTTCCTGATGACTGTCCTGATGAAGTACCATGTTGTACACTACCAGATGACTGCCCTTGCCGTGTGGAGCTAGAAGCATGGCCCGATGAAGAACCATATTCTCCTAGAGTGGAAGATTTCCCTGATCCAGAACCACTTCTCCTCTGGCTAGAAGACAGTCCTGACCCTGAGTTTTGTGTTCCATAACTGGCAGACTGCCCAGAGCCAGAGCCAGAGCCATGCTCCCCATAGCTAGTGGAGTGACCACAGGAAGATCCATGCTGATGCCTCCCAGCTGACTGTCCAGAGATGGAACCCTGTTGCCCTCTCCCAGAAGCCTGGCCTCGCCCAGATGCCCCTCCTGATTCTGACCCATATTGTTGGGAGCCAGAAGACTCCCTTGAGCTAGACCTTGTCCTTCTCTGGCTTGAAGACTCTCTGGATCCTGATCTATGCTGGCCATAAGTAGTGGACTGCCCTGAGCTGCTTCCTGATGACTGTCCTGATGAAGTACCATGTTGTACACTACCAGATGACTGCCCTTGCCGGGTGGAGCTAGAAGCATGGCCCGATGAAGAACCATATTCTCCTAGAGTGGAAGATTTCCCTGATCCAGAACCACTTCTCCTCTGGCTAGAAGACTGTCGTGACCCTGAGTTTTGTGTTCCATAACTGGCAGACTGCCCAGAGCCAGAGCCAGAGCCATGCTCCCCATAGCTAGTGGAGTGACCACAGGAAGATCCATGCTGATGCCTCCCAGCTGACTGTCCAGAGATGGAACCCTGTTGCCCTCTCCCAGAAGCCTGGCCTCGCCCAGATGCCCCTCCAGATTCGGACCCGTATTGTTGGGAGCCAGAAGACTCCCTTGAGCTAGACCTTGTCCTTCTCTGGCTTGAAGACTCTCTGGATCCTGATCTATGCTGGCCATAAGTAGTGGACTGACCTGAGCTGCTTCCTGATGACTGTCCTGATGAAGTACCATGTTGTACACTACCAGATGACTGACCTTGCCGTGTGGAGCCAGAAGCGTGGCCCGATGAAGAACCATATTCTCCTCTACCAGAAGACTGTCTGGATCTAGTGCCACTACTCCTCTGGCTAGAAGACAGTCCTGACCCTGAGTTGTGTGCTCCATAGCTGGGAGATTCCCCAGAGCTAGAGCCATGCTCCCCATAGCTAGAGGACTGACCACAGCAAGATCCACTCTGATGCCTCCCCTCTGACTGTCCAGAGATCGAACCCTGTTGCCCTCTTCCAGAATACTGGCTGTGTCCAGATCCCTGTTGACTAAAGCCAGAAGCCTCTCCTGATCCAGACCCATATTGCAGGGATCCAGAAGACTCCCTTGAGCTAGACCTTGTCCTTCTCTGGCTTGAAGACTCTCTGGATCCTGATCTATGCTGGCCATAAGTAGTGGACTGACCTGAGCTGCTTCCTGATGACTGTCCTGATGAAGTACCATGTTGTACACTACCAGATGACTGCCCTTGCCGTGTGGAGCTAGAAGCATGGCCCGATGAAGAACCATATTCTCCTAGAGTGGAAGATTTCCCTGATCCAGAACCACTTCTCCTCTGGCTAGAAGACAGTCCTGACCCTGAGTTTTGTGTTCCATAACTGGCAGACTGCCCAGAGCCAGAGCCAGAGCCATGCTCCCCATAGCTAGTGGAGTGACCACAGGAAGATCCATGCTGATGCCTCCCAGCTGACTGTCCAGAGATGGAACCCTGTTGCCCTCTCCCAGAAGCCTGGCCTCGCCCAGATGCCCCTCCTGATTCTGACCCATATTGTTGGGAGCCAGAAGACTCCCTTGAGCTAGACCTTGTCCTTCTCTGGCTTGAAGACTCTCTGGATCCTGATCTATGCTGGCCATAAGTAGTGGACTGACCTGAGCTGCTTCCTGATGACTGTCCTGATGAAGTACCATGTTGTACACTACCAGATGACTGACCTTGCCGTGTGGAGCCAGAAGCGTGGCCCGATGAAGAACCATATTCTCCTCTACCAGAAGACTGTCTGGATCTAGTGCCACTACTCCTCTGGCTAGAAGACAGTCCTGACCCTGAGTTGTGTGCTCCATAGCTGGGAGATTCCCCAGAGCTAGAGCCATGCTCCCCATAGCTAGAGGACTGACCACAGCAAGATCCACTCTGATGCCTCCCCTCTGACTGTCCAGAGATCGAACCCTGTTGCCCTCTTCCAGAATACTGGCTGTGTCCAGATCCCTGTTGACTAAAGCCAGAAGCCTCTCCTGATCCAGACCCATATTGCAGGGATCCAGAAGACTCCCTTGAGCTAGACCTTGTCCTTCTCTGGCTTGAAGACTCTCTGGATCCTGATCTATGCTGGCCATAAGTAGTGGACTGACCTGAGCTGCTTCCTGATGACTGTCCTGATGAAGTACCATGTTGTACACTACCAGATGACTGCCCTTGCCGTGTGGAGCTAGAAGCATGGCCCGATGAAGAACCATATTCTCCTAGAGTGGAAGATTTCCCTGATCCAGAACCACTTCTCCTCTGGCTAGAAGACAGTCCTGACCCTGAGTTTTGTGTTCCATAACTGGCAGACTGCCCAGAGCCAGAGCCAGAGCCATGCTCCCCATAGCTAGTGGAGTGACCACAGGAAGATCCATGCTGATGCCTCCCAGCTGACTGTCCAGAGATGGAACCCTGTTGCCCTCTCCCAGAAGCCTGGCCTCGCCCAGATGCCCCTCCTGATTCTGACCCATATTGTTGGGAGCCAGAAGACTCCCTTGAGCTAGACCTTGTCCTTCTCTGGCTTGAAGACTCTCTGGATCCTGATCTATGCTGGCCATAAGTAGTGGACTGACCTGAGCTGCTTCCTGATGACTGTCCTGATGAAGTACCATGTTGTACACTACCAGATGACTGACCTTGCCGTGTGGAGCCAGAAGCATGGCCCGATGAAGAACCATATTCTCCTCTACCAGAAGACTGTCTGGATCTAGTGCCACTACTCCTCTGGCTAGAAGACAGTCCTGACCCTGAGTTGTGTGTTCCATAGCTGGGAGATTGCCCAGAGCCAGAGCCATGCTCCCCATAGCTAGAGGACTGACCACAGCAAGATCCACTCTGATGCCTCCCCTCTGACTGTCCAGAGATTGAACCCTGTTGCCCTCTTCCAGACGACTGGCTGTGTCCAGATCCCTGTTGACTAAAGCCAGAAGCCTCTCCTGATCCAGACCCGTATTGTTGGGAGCCAGAAGACTCCCTTGAGCTAGACCTTGTCCTTCTCTGGCTTGAAGACTCTCTGGATCCTGATCTATGCTGGCCATAAGTAGTGGACTGACCTGAGCTGCTTCCTGATGACTGTCCTGATGAAGTACCATGTTGTACACTACCAGATGACTGCCCTTGCCGGGTGGAGCTAGAAGCATGGCCCGATGAAGAACCATATTCTCCTAGAGTGGAAGATTTCCCTGATCCAGAACCACTTCTCCTCTGGCTAGAAGACTGTCGTGACCCTGAGTTTTGTGTTCCATAACTGGCAGACTGTCCAGAGCCAGAGCCAGAGCCATGCTCCCCATAGCTAGTGGAGTGACCACAGGAAGATCCATGCTGATGCCTCCCAGCTGACTGTCCAGAGATGGAACCCTGTTGCCCTCTCCCAGAAGCCTGGCCTCGCCCAGATGCCCCTCCAGATTCGGACCCGTATTGTTGGGAGCCAGAAGACTCCCTTGAGCTAGACCTTGTCCTTCTCTGGCTTGAAGACTCTCTGGATCCTGATCTATGCTGGCCATAAGTAGTGGACTGACCTGAGCTGCTTCCTGATGACTGTCCTGATGAAGTACCATGTTGTACACTACCAGATGACTGACCTTGCCGTGTGGAGCCAGAAGCGTGGCCCGATGAAGAACCATATTCTCCTCTACCAGAAGACTGTCTGGATCTAGTGCCACTACTCCTCTGGCTAGAAGACAGTCCTGACCCTGAGTTGTGTGCTCCATAGCTGGGAGATTCCCCAGAGCCAGAGCCATGCTCCCCATAGCTAGAGGACTGACCACAGCAAGATCCACTCTGATGCCTCCCCTCTGACTGTCCAGAGATCGAACCCTGTTGCCCTCTTCCAGAATACTGGCTGTGTCCAGATCCCTGTTGACTAAAGCCAGAAGCCTCTCCTGATCCAGACCCGTATTGTTGGGATCCAGAAGACTCCCTTGAGCTAGACCTTGTCCTTTTCTGGCTTGAAGACTGTCTGGATCCTGATCTATGCTGGCCATAAGTAGTGGACTGACCTGAGCTGCTTCCTGATGACTGTCCTGATGAAGTACCATGTTGTACACTACCAGATGACTGCCCTTGCCGTGTGGAGCTAGAAGCGTGGCCCGATGAAGAACCATATTCTCCTAGAGTGGAAGATTTCCCTGATCCAGAACCACTTCTCCTCTGGCTAGACGACTGTCGTGACCCTGAGTTTTGTGTTCCATAACTGGCAGACTGCCCAGAGCCAGAGCCAGAGCCATGCTCCCCATAGCTAGTGGAGTGACCACAGGAAGATCCATGCTGATGCCTCCCAGCTGACTGTCCAGAGATGGAACCCTGTTGCCCTCTCCCAGAAGCCTGGCCTCGCCCAGATGCCCCTCCAGATTCGGACCCGTATTGTTGGGAGCCAGAAGACTCCCTTGAGCTAGACCTTGTCCTTCTCTGGCTTGAAGACTCTCTGGATCCTGATCTATGCTGGCCATAAGTAGTGGACTGACCTGTGCTGCTTCCTGATGACTGTCCTGATGAAGTACCATGTTGTACACTACCAGATGACTGACCTTGCCGTGTGGAGCTAGAAGCGTGGCCCGATGAAGAACCATATTCTCCTAGAGTGGAAGATTTCCCTGATCCAGAACCACTTCTCCTCTGGCTAGAAGACTGTCGTGACCCTGAGTTTTGTGTTCCATAACTGGCAGACTGCCCAGAGCCAGAGCCAGAGCCATGCTCCCCATAGCTAGTGGAGTGACCACAGGAAGATCCATGCTGATGCCTCCCAGCTGACTGTCCAGAGATGGAACCCTGTTGCCCTCTCCCAGAAGCCTGGCCTCGCCCAGATGCCCCTCCAGATTCGGACCCATATTGTTGGGAGCCAGAAGACTCCCTTGAGCTAGACCTTGTCCTTCTCTGGCTTGAAGACTCTCTGGATCCTGATCTATGCTGGCCATAAGTAGTGGACTGACCTGAGCTGCTTCCTGATGACTGTCCTGATGAAGTACCATGTTGTACACTACCAGATGACTGACCTTGCCGTGTGGAGCCAGAAGCATGGCCCGATGAAGAACCATATTCTCCTAGAGTGGAAGATTTCCCTGATCCAGAACCACTTCTCCTCTGGCTAGAAGACTGTCGTGACCCTGAGTTTTGTGTTCCATAACTGGCAGACTGCCCAGAGCCAGAGCCAGAGCCATGCTCCCCATAGCTAGTGGAGTGACCACAGGAAGATCCATGCTGATGCCTCCCAGCTGACTGTCCAGAGATGGAACCCTGTTGCCCTCTCCCAGAAGCCTGGCCTCGCCCAGATGCCCCTCCAGATTCGGACCCATATTGTTGGGAGCCAGAAGACTCCCTTGAGCTAGACCTTGTCCTTCTCTGGCTTGAAGACTCTCTGTATCCTGATCTATGCTGGCCATAAGTAGTGGACTGACCTGAGCTGCTTCCTGATGACTGTCCTGATGAAGTACCATGTTGTACACTACCAGATGACTGACCTTGCCGTGTGGAGCCAGAAGCGTGGCCCGATGAATAACCATATTCTCCCCTAGTGCCACTACTCCTCTGGCTAGAAGACTGTCCTGACCCTGAGTTTTGTGTTTCATAGCTGGTAGACTGTCCACAGCCAGAGCCAGAGCCTAAGCCAGAGCCATGCTCCCTATGGCTAGTGGCCTGACCACAAGAAGATCCATGCTCATTCCTCCCTGCTGACTGTCCCGAGATGCAACCCTGTTGCCCTCTTCCAGACGACTGCCCTTGCCCTGATGCCTCTCTTGATCCAGACTCATACTGTTGGGAGCCAGAAAACTCCCTTGAGCTAGACCCAGTCCTGCTGTGTCTTGATGACTCTCTTGATGCTGATTCAGGCTTACCATAGGACTGACCTGAGCCCAAGCCCGCTGACTGTGCTGATGAAGTGCCATGTTGTACACTGCCAGATGACTGACCTTTCCCAGATTGTTGTGTACTGGAGCCATAAGAATGACTTCTTGCAGAATTGTTTTCACTGGTTCCAAAAGAGTTTCTTGACTCAGAGCCATTTCTCTTCTGTGTAGAAGACTGGCATGATCCTGTATTGTGGTTTCCATAATTGGTAGACTGACCAGATGCTGAGCCATGCTGTCCAGTGCTGGTAGACTGTCCTGATCCGCAGCCTGATAATTCTTCTGATGAAAACTCATATTTTCCATTACCAGAACTCTGATGTTGTCCAGATCCTTGTCTCCTGGAACAAGGAGATTCTCTTGATTTATGTGTAGTTTGTTGGTTGCCCCTGTCTTTACTTGAGCTAGATCTTCTGCTGTGGCTTTTTGATCCTGATCTGTAATCTTCTTTTGTGTATTTTTCAGTGTTTTTCATGTGAGTTGAATTTGATCTTTTCTCTTGTTCAGAAATTTGTGGATTCCCTTCCTTCAATTTTCCAGAACTTGACTTAGAGTTGTGTTTATTGCTTATTCTTGAGCCCCTGGAATAAGTATTAGTCTCTCCTGCACTCGAACTTGAAAAACTTGAAGAGGCATCTTGTTCTTTGTCATCTTTTTCTCCTTCACTCTGTTCCTTTTGGTCCTGGTGACTGTGATTTTTCTGCTTTGACCCTGAAGCTTGGCAGTAATCTTTGCCAATAATTTTATTACAAGCCTGTGTGAGCTTGACTATCATCAGAAGATACTCAGTGAAATCCACTTTGTTGTTATGATCTCTGTCCAGACTTTGCATGATGATATCTACAGTGTCTGGATCATCTGGATTCTGTAAAGGAATAATGTACAAATGAAGGCTTTTTAACTATAAACTGTAAAACTAGCTGAGTATTTGGGAGAATGCTGTAGAAATGTGAATATTTTGTAAGTTACATTGAAAATAACCACATAGTTCTTTGGACTAGAATGAGGGGAGAGAGACAGAGAGAGACAGAGACAGAGAGAGAGAGAGACAGAGACAGAGACAGAGAGAGACAGAGAGACAGACAGAGACAGAGACAGACAGACAGAGACAGAGAGATAGAGAGCAAGAACCAGCCAGCAACAAGACAAGCAATAAATTGGCAAGAAGAATTAACCAGGAGGGCATGCAATCCAAAGGTTCAAGCAATCACATGACACAATCATTTTTCATAAATATAATAGCTGAGACCTGTGCTTTGGAGGTCAGAAAGTATGATCCTGAGTTTAAAAACAGTGTAGGTTGTGTGGCAAGTTGCTGAGCTCCTTTGAATTAAAAGTAAGGTCTTGCCAAAAAACAAAACAAAAACAAAACAAACAACAACAACAACAAAAAGAAAAGGGTAATGGTTAATCAAGTATGATTAGCTTATGCATAAATAATAATTGTAGATATCTGCATCAATTATATAATTTTTGTTCAGTTAGTTTATTTGCTTGTTACAGACTTTAAAACATATTTCTTTTGCGTGGGTATGTGTAGCTACTCTCTGCCTAGCACTGTGTTATGGAGGATCTAAAGCAGTGAACCATTTCAGTGGTTATACTGTGCATTATGGTACATGCCCGTAATCCCTTCATTCTGGAGGTGGAGACACTAACATCAGGAGTTCAAGGTCATTTTCAGCTACACAGCAAGTTTAAGGTCTGACTATATTACATGAAACACTGTTTTAATAAAAAATGAGTTAATAAATAAAATTTAAAAAGTAAAGGCTAGTGGTTCAATATAAAAATTTATAACTTATTATTACTAATATGAGTGATTCAAAGTGGAACCAATTGTGATTCAAGAAAGATTAATGAGAGAATATGCTATTCAGTGAAGGGTGGGTTAGAATTAACCAAGTAAAGAAGGAGGCGGGAGGAAAGACTAGGGAGAAGACACAGATCGAGGTGATGCTATGAACAAAGGGTAAAAGAAAGAGGTCTGGTTTATTTGAAGAACTGACAGAAATTCAAGAGTGCTGATTTAGTACAAGGAGTAAAGACATCTAGCTACAGAGATAGAGACTAGATCATATATTTAAAATCATGTTGATGAATTTTGACCCTTATATTAAGAACAGATGAGACTAATTGGGGGAATTTGTATGGTGAGATCAAAAAAGAAGGTAGCCTGAACCAGAGGACTAGCAGTGTTGTTGGAGATAAGAGGAATGTTTTAGAAGTCTCTTTCTGAACTGGATGGAGAAGGTGGTAGTGTCTTCTGATATGGAGGAAATCAATACTAATCCTGGGATCCTATACTGATCTAAAAGAGAAGGAAGGAGTTTAGGGTGTAAGGCTATACTTACATGTGATGTAAGAGATCCCTAGTAATCCAGATGACACTCAGTAAGCATTTGAATTTAAGGATAGGTTTAAGCTCCCACAGGTTTATTTCCAGAGATGATAATTTTAATGTGTTTCTTTCCCTTTTTGGTGATTTATAGGTTAATACAAATGTTCTCAACTTAAGAGGTCTTAGGAATAGGCAGTGGTTTGGACTCTGCACTAAAGAAAACCAAATGTAAGAATATGAGTTCAATATATTCTGCAGATTTTCTGAGGGTCATAAGAATTACTCCCACAGACAGGAAAAATTTAAATATATGAATTTTCCTGTTGTTTGGTAGGATCACTTTAACTTAATCATGTTATGGAAACATTATCAGTCAATGGCTTATAGCATTTTAAGTCTGCCAAACTCAGTTCTCTATTACCAAATATGAGAGTCTTCTCTGGTGTTTGACATATAAACAAAAGGTAGGGTAAAACAGAAAACTGCTTCAGAATTCAGTTCTGGTACAGAGTTCTTACCTTCAGAATTTGGTGAAACTCATTTTCTAGAAGTTCTTTCATTTCTTTTTTGTTCAGCATGTCACAGTTCTCATCTTCAGTGGCATATTGGTAGAAAACTTCAATAACAGTGACAATACCTTGCAGGAGTTTAGGCATCTTGTTGCAAATTCAAGTTAACCTAGATGGGGGAGTAAGACATTCATCTTTTAACTTAATTCTTAAATACCTAACTACTTCCAGTCATTTGTGATAATTATCAGTCATGATTAATTTTCTTTCTGTACGTAAATCCAAAGTTGAATAACTTGCTCCAGCTATGTAGCAAGAAAGTGATGAAATTAGAGCAGGATCCCTATGTCTTACTTTGATACCTGAAGGAATGTGGAGGAGCCTTTTTAATGGGGCTCCTGATTTGTTCTGGAGATATAGAAAACCTGAATATGCTAATCCATCCATTCCTTAGTTGCTTCCTAGGTCTCAACCACTACACTATAAGGGACAGGCATATCATTTATATACTGTGCCTAAATCTACAAAGAGCCCCAGTAGCTAATTTGGATTCTCAACATTCCAGGATAAAGAAAGTAGAAAAAAAACGAGCAAAGCAAACCACAGAGAATGATAGGAGCTGAGGTAGCTCCTATCAGACAGCTTCTGTTTTCATTCTTCATGTAGGGCTGTTTTGGGTGTTTTCTGCTTATACCACAGAAAGAAAACAGAGACAAGCTGCCAAGGCCTTACTAGGTTCCTAAACTGTCCAGGAAAGACCTCAAATAGGTAATATAAACAGTGTAGTTTTATATCACAATGTACTAAAAAGTAAACTTTCGAGTATAATGTGGACTTTAGTATTTAGTAGACCTAAATATTGTGAGTAGAACTGAAGCTGCTCACTTACCAGAGTCACCAGAGGAACAGCAGGATGGAGACTGATGTTGCTTGCAGGGTGCTGCTCGTTGAAAACACTGGCCTTTTTATAGGGACAATGATGGTCCATCTTAGGGAGGAGTTGCTTTCTTTGACATGTCCTAGTTCACTCCTAAACAAGTTCAGCTCCTTCTCCATCTCCACCTCCCAGATGTTTACCTTCTTACTTCCTTACATGTTAACTTGAGATTGCAATAGCAGTTCCCAAATCTGGGCTAGTATCAGCCCCACCTGTTAAACTCTCAGGACACTTTGCAGAAAGGCTTTTTTTTTAAAAAAATTAAAAGTGTGTGTGTGTGTGTGTGTGTGTGTATGTGTGTGTGTGTGTGTGTGTGTGTGTGTGTGTATGTGTGTGCACCCAACTATGGAATGCTGCATTGACAGCCAGCTGTATACTTTAGTAGAAGTTGAATGGAATGACATGAGAACTCAAATGTCAAAAAAAAATCAAGAAATTTGATGTTCAGAAGAAGCATGAAATATCACTTAGTCTGATGCATCCATTTTAAACTAGTTTTATATAAGAGATTCCAGCCAGGCACTGTCCATGATTTTATCACCTCTTGGGAGTCAGTAGCGACTGTAGAGAGGCTCTTCTTTTTATCTGTTTGTCTAACTAAATTTATATAACTTATACAACTATACGTGAATGTAGCTTCATTTTAACTACCATATAACCATAGCAAGCAGAAACATGTTTTCTAGGTCCCTCCTGATCTTGCCTGTGGATTCTCTTAAGTTCAATTGTTTCTCTGCATATTTATTTACTTTTATGCTCATCTGGAGTTAATTACTTCAACATATGCTATTTCATATTCCCCCCACCCCTTGGATTACCTATTAGCAGTATCTGTCTAGTGAATTGTTGTTTTTTGCAATTAACTTTGTCCTTTCTGTAAGAAATGTTTCTAGTATTACTCAAGAGAGAATCATAACTTGTTCATGATTTTCAAGTTAATGTGTGTATGCATGGGTTCATGTGTGTGTGTGTGTGTGTATGTGTGTGTGTGTTGTATGTGTGTGCTGAGAGTGCTGAGTGCTGAGTGTGTCTATGTGCTTGTACAAGCTAGAATTCAATGTCAGGCATCTTTCTTGATGACTTTCCATATTGTCTTTTGAGACAGGGTCTCTCACTGAAGCCAGCTATACTGCCTAGCCACTGAGCTCTGGCGAATCTGCCCTTCCCCTGTGCTAGGATTACAGATGCCCTAATTTTTGGGGGGCAGGAGGTTGAGTGCTGAATCTGAACTCAAGTCCTCATGATTGTATAGAAGGTATTTTGCTGACTGAGCCATTAACTTAGTCTCCAAATTAGAAAGTTGAAAATGCTGCTAAAGAAAGATCATAGTACCTGTAAATATACTAGAAAGAAATATCCATCATTATTTGATTTGCTAGTAATTTGGTTGATTATTCCTTCACACACATATTTTTCTATGTCTTATATAATTTATAAACTATGAAGAAGAGGAACTGGGCATTACTAATCCCTGTGTCAGCTAGAGATCTAGGCTAATTGCCTGGTGTGTGAAGTTTTCAAAAAAAATTGCCACTTGGAGTTGAATTAAAAAAGGATTAGGGCATGCCTTCAGACCTCTGCACAGAGAGACCAACCTATGCTTTTTTTCCCCAGAACTAGGATCTGTCTATTTTCATGCCATATTCAGTTTGGAAGACATGATTTCACATGAATATTGTTGAATCTTGTATTGAGAATTAACAAGCTATTCTCTGCTCACTCTTGAGGATCTTGTCCCCAAGTTCTATCCATTGTGAATGGATAACACACATTTTATTGAAGATATCCTAAGCTAAAGAACCTAAAATGTGTGGAATATAGTCATCAAATTTGAGTAAAGGCGGTAGCAAATTTTGGCAAATGGCAAACTCCATGATTCCAAATTCAACTATCCTTAGATATCCCCCTCCCCACCCCCCAGAAACTACCCCGAGGGTGAAATGTCAGCGTCTCTTTTGCAGCTGTGCTTCCCTGGATGCCTGATTTGGGTCAGGTCAGCACACAGCATAAGAGCAATGACCTTCTTAAAGGTGTGACTGAGGCTGTGGGAGTGAAGGGGAGGTGGAGTTTGTTGAGTGAAGAGCTGTTATTTCAGAGGCAGGAAAGAGTTGTAAGGAGACTGTTGCAGGTGAACATGCCTTTGAAGCCAGTGTCCTTCTAAACGAAGTGTCAGCAAATTTTCTGTAAATGGCTAGACCGTAAATATGATCAGATTTGTGGGCCAAGTGATCTTTCATGCAGCTATTCAATCCTGCTATTCTAGCATGAAAACAGTCATACACAATGTATTTTAAAATTATTGTATTTTAAAATAGATATTTTGTCTGCATGGATGTCTGTGTGCCGTGTGTGTCTGGTGCCCATGGAGGCTAGATGAGGGTGTGGGTTCCTTCAGAACTGGAGTTACAGATAGTTGTGAGCTGCCATATGGATGCTGGGGGTCAAACCCTGGGTCCTCTGGCAGAGCATCTGGTAAGTATTCTTAATCTTGGAGCCTTCTTTCCAGCACCGTAGATGACATTTGTGTAAAAGGTTGTGTTTGGATAAAATTCACGAATGACACTGATCTTAGAATTCTGTTTGTCATAGACTCTTTCAACCAGTTGTAAATGTAGAAAACAATCTTTATGGTGGTGGTCCTCTACCTGTGGGTCACAACTCCATTGGGGGTAGAATGACCCTTTCACATGGGTTGCCTAAGGCCATCTGAAACCACAGATATTTGCATTACCATTCATACCCATAGCAAAATTGTAGCCATGAAGTAGTAATGAAATAATTTTATGGTTGGGGGTCACCACAGCATGAGGAACTGTATTAAAGGGCCACAGGGTTAGGAATATTAAGGACCACTGCTTTATGGTCTGTGGCCATACGTGAACTGTGCTGAGCTTGTGATGGCCTAAGAGCCACAGGTATCACCTTTTGCTCCATTTGCTTGTTGGAAAGATTTTCCAGGAGAGTAGAATCTCACAGGGAGAACAAGGCTGGACTGTGAGGTACAGCAGAGCTGCTGACTCTCACATACCTGTTGTTCACTATGTCTGGAAAGAAGACAGAACAACATTACTATTAAAAGGAAATGAAAGAAAAATTTAACATCTGAACTAAATGAAAAGACAGTGTGTTCTTTCTGAAATAGTTTGCTGTCTGGATCTTATAGGGACTGCCATGTGTCCTGTAAGTAGTACTTTGCTTTTAAAAACACTAAACCTTTCAGTGCTATATTTTCAGAATGTCCTTACCAAGCTGAATCTTGTCAAGTGTTATTTCCTGGGTCATATAATGAAAACAAGGTGCCTATTGAAATTGTGTTCTGGGCCTTTCTTTTCGTATTGAATACAGGTTGTATTAAAGTGAGGTTGTCCTGGAGATTCTAAAGCTAAGGTTCATGATTTCCTGAGTGTGTATGCCACGGTAGCACAGTTGGGCAAGGAAGCTCCTCTATGATTTCAATTAATGCTTTTCTTCTTTATCATAACAGGCTTCAATAAAAAGATCCCTCCCTTCTCTCCCTTCTTTCTGTCAGTGACAAACTTTCATAGCCTAGGCTATCCTAGAGTCTGCTATATAGTCCAGGTTAGCCTTGAATCTCAATTCTCTTGCTTTTCTCTCCTGAATGTTGATATCATGGGAATTTGCTACCATGCTTTGCATGAAAAATGCTTTTTATGGTACGTGTCAGGATCTAGTTTTTTAGTGTTTTGTTGTTGTTGTTTGTTTTTGAGACAGGATTTTTCTGTGTAGCCCTGGCTGTCCTGGAATTCACTCTGTAGAACAGGCTGGCCTGGAACTCACAGAGATCCATGTGCCTCTGCCTCCCCAGTGCTGGTATCAAAGGCGAGTGCCACCACCACCTGGATGTAGTGCTTTTGATATGTTGAAAAAAGACACTGTTTTATCCTTTCTGCAAAAGTACTGTGCACTGTGTGCTGATATGCAGCATTACATTAAACGATGTGACTTACTTTAAACTAGCTATTAAATGAAGCAAGATTCAACCACAAATCTACATATTCTTAGAAAGTGGTGAGCAGGCAACTGTCTTTTGGAAAAAGTAAAGTTTATTTTTTCTTTTGAAAAAATAGAGCTTTGCAGATAGTTCTTAGGGAGTAGAATGTTTCACCCAAAGAATTTTGCTCCCCAAACAGAAAGAATGTAAGAGATAGTTTGGATGAAACAGTGTCTTCTGGACATGATGCAGACATTCCACTCACGAACTCACTGCAGCTGTGGCTACAAGTGCAAGACTGGGGCCATCACCATTTCACCTTCTGTGTGATTTTCTCCAATAGGAAAGCCATTGAGAAGTTGTCCATGTTCCAGTAAATAACCCCCAGTTCATGTTTATGCAAGCCTGAGTCAAACCATAATTAAAGTTAGTAGGTGATAAAAAAAATATCAAAGCAAGGTTTTGGTAGGAAGAAGTGAGAAGATGAGTTTTAGTGGAAGAGAGAAAGGAATAGAAGGACAACAGGAGTGACAATGAACAAAACTTGTGTGTGTGTGTGTGTGTGTGTGTGTGTGTAAGAATGAAAAAATTAAAAAAGTCAACCTCAAATCACATTTATGGCTTCTAATTATAGAAAAAAATAAGATGTTGAAAAATATTGCCTCCCCAAATTGAAAATTTGCTCTTTAAGAATAAACAAACTCATTCCTGGTCTGGAAGCCTGTGAGATGTGTCTGTAGCACCATCTACTGGATAATGAGGAGATGCAGAACATTCTGTCCATTCTTTTTCTCCTATGTTATTTCCAACAGTTCTTTGTAGCTTAAGCTCTATGAAGGAGGATACTTATGAGATAGATAGATAGATAGATACATACATACATACAGAGAGACAAGGAGACAGACAGACAGACAGACACACATACACATGCATACACACGCACACACAGAAAGAGACAGAATATTAAACAAACCATAATTAGGGGATAGTTTGTATTTATCCTCCTCAGTGTACTTATGTGGTGTAAGTTTAAATGTTAACA